TTATATATTCAAAACATTAATTAAAATCAAGGAGATTGATTTGTCATTTAAGATACCATTATTTTTTGAATCAAGAGTTCATATTTTGGCCAAAATGGCAAATCTTAATAAGAAATTGTACGAAATCATCGCCAATATAGACTTTTAAACGAATATCTTTAGAAGGCATCTCATTCTTTTATAATATTAAGTTTTTTTCTCTATGAACAGGTTATAATTAAACCTTCCTGATAGTTGAAATAGTATTTATGTTTACATAAATCATTTAAGAATAAACATCATATTCAAAGTCTATAAGAAAATTATTTTTTACTCTAATCCTAATTCCAGTATAAAAGTAGCAACACATCAAGATAAAAAGTTAGTAAACTATATTCTCCTATAAGTTTAGCTATAATTTCCTTCTACAATTTATTCAGCAACCTTAATTAGCCAATGTTTTTTTTTCCAGACTAAATTAACTCTTTTAATTCCTCATAGATGGTAAAAATAGTTTGGAAAATTATTCATCTCCAAGTTTAAGCCTAAACTATAGGCTTAAATGAGTTATATTTATCTCTACTAGATTAATTATCAGTCAAAATTATTCGAAGATCTAGCTTAAATCTGAATTAAAGTAACATAATTAACTTCCATAACGATTTAAAATTCCATCCTTAAAAGTGCTACCCAAAATAGCTTTTATCTCAAGTATAGTTACAATGCTTAAATAGATTTGTAAAATTTTTCAGCCAGAAAAATCTCAAATGAGAATTGAGTTTATTTAAGCCTTCAAATAATTTTTTATAAATGCTAACTTTTTCATTTGAAAAACTAGGAAGGAATTAACCAGTTTTGATGATAGCCGCTCTTCCTTAACTAAAATTATTCAAATTCATTATGATTTTATGAACGCAGCTTAAAAAGATTACCATGACAAATTATAATCAATTAAGAAAGTTAATTTTTATAAGGAAAAGCAATTGATTAGTTTTATTTTTCTTCCATCATGTGATTGGTGATAGAAAAAATTTTCACATATATATTCATTTGCAACATACTATACATATCTTTTTTCTATTGGGTTTCAGCTCAAAGAAAAATAGGTTGAGTTATATGATCGTAACAATAAAGTAAGTCTCTAACAAAGCTCAACACTCCTTAATAATGGCGAAATTAACATTCTAGAATTTTTCCCTTCCTGTCATGCTTTCTCTTTTTATTGTATAGAATCCCAACAGCAATAGCTTGGGTATTTTCAACCCTTCATAATATTGTATAATTACAAATTCTTTAGTAAAATTAACTGTTAAATGGAACATATTTTGCATTTTTATCTTACGCAAAAACAACATAGTTATTAAGATATTGGACACCTTTTATATTTTTATAGTTGCATCTGACGATAAAGGTTTATATTTAACATGAATTTTATATCCTTTCCTAAGACAAAAAAAGTGATTATTTTCAAGTTGTTGATGAATCATTGATATAAGTTAATGAAAGAGATCATTTGATGGAGTTAGAACCTAACCATTTTTGGAGTTTGCATAAATTACTATCATTTTTTTTAGTAATTGATTTTTGTTTGTGCATGAGAATTGAGATTATTAGAAAATGACTTAGGGAACTTTATTAGTTGATCATTTAGAGATTTATCTTTTAAGACATCAATCTCAGTCTAGAAAAGTAGGCAATGATGAATAAGGTTGCTTTATATTATTGTTCTTGTGGTATTGTTAATCAATGGTACTTTAAGTGGTATTTTGTTCATGAAAATAAATGAATATCATTATTTCGTTCTTGTATATATTCAAAATCTCTTAGATGTTTGGTTATCTTATTATTACCAAAATGATTTACTTTTCTATGAGTTCACAAGATAATAGCTTAATAGAAACAAAACAGCCAAACAAAATAAATTTATTTATTTTCTTAATGGATTAACTTATTGTAATTGAATCTTTTTAAGCAAAAATATAAATCTTAATCGTTTAAGGAAGTATCAAGTCCTTTTTCTCCTTTC